TCACTTTTTATTTTAGATTGAAAAAAGTTGAGGTTATTGTTTGGCCCCGGGTTAGCTTTTTCTTTGTTTGGCTTGCGGGCTAGAGTTAGTATACAATTAATATAATCCTCATAAATTAATATTAAATAACTTGACTCTCTCTTTCTATAAGGTAATAATTAAATATAAGTAATATAATTTTCTGAAAAGAGTTACAAGACACACAGTACAATATGCCTTATAAGGAAAAAATAAAAAAACCTGTACAAAATCGTGATGTCGTATGTGAACCATCTCAGCAATTAAAAATAGTTACAATAACATCCGAGTCTTATTTAAAGAAGTTTTATACGCATATAATATTTATAAATTATGTGCAGTGAATTAAATAATTATTAAATAATTTTTTTTTCATAAATCATAAATATCCTCCATGGAAGGCAATCTTTTTTGGGATGGGTACATGATTAAGGTTTTAAACTCTACTCAAATATACTACTACAGAGGATCGAACACATATTTTTACCCTCGCCTACTTAGCTCTCATACGCCAATTGAGCTACTATCATTTGGTTTAAATAAATCCTTTTGTCATACAAATGTTTTATGAATTTTAAAATCTTATATAATTCATTTAATATGCATTAGAATTAACTTATTTTTTTAATTAATTTTTTCAAAACTTATTCATATAATTTATTTAAAAAAAAATTACGTCTTAATTGTTTTTCAAACATTCAATGTAACGGTGTATACTGTATATATAGAAAAAAATTTAGTGTTATCTAATGACTCAAAAAAATATATTAAAACATATGTGAATGTAAATTTATTTAAATATATATGATCACTGGCTGTGTGATGCTAATTAACAAAAAACAAAAACAAAAAAACTGCCTCATAACTACAAATTAAATTTTATAAAAATTGAGATGTAAATAATCATGTTCCAAGTTCAAACCCCACCATAAATACATCTTCTCCCTTAGCCTTTTTACCCCACCAAGCTTTCTCTTTCTTTGTCTGTCTCTTCTTCTTGCTTCACCATTTTTTCTATGAAAAAAATCCTTTCTTTATTCTTCTCCGTTTCAACATGAAAACCGAGCCTTTGTATGAGGGCGAGAACTCCAATGGCGTCCTCAGCCATTTCGTGTGCCCACTGTGCTATTTACACTTTCCTTCTGAAGAAATGGCATCCCAACACTATCATAACGAATTGAACCAATTGAAGGCTAATGAGAGGAAAAGAAGCATGTTGTGTGATGCGGTGCAAAAGATTAATGAGCGCCGTCTCACACCATTCTCATTATCTGAATTCCCAACTTCTGATGGAATGATCAACATTGCACCATTCAGTACTTTGTACAAGCTGGTACCTGTGGGTGTGGGCACTTCTGATGATGGTGTGGTTGATTATGTGCGTTTTGATCATGAGATCGTGGAGGCAGCGCCAATAACATCACCACCACCACCATCACATGAACAAGTATTATATGTCCCTGAAAACTCAGGCACCATGGATCTTCTGTCAGTCATGGATCCTTCCATTGCTGTGCCATCGCCCGTGCCACCTACATCAGCACGGGAAGCGGTTGCGGCGATGGAAGTTTCACTTGAACTTGCACTTGCGCTACCGGTCAAGGCGGAGCCGATGGAAGTGGACCTGGATTTGAAGCTCTAGGGTGGGTCTTTAGGGTTTTAAATGGATTTGGCTTGGATCTAGATGTAGTTTTTTTCTTTTTTGTTGGGCTTAGCCTAAGTGCTTTGCTCATGTATTTGAGTATGTCCTAGGGTATGTTCTGTGTCTTTATCTTATGGTTCTTGCTTTACTTTCATTACAGGATGTAAATCTGGTCCAAGCCATGGTTGGGGTTCTGGTCTGTTTAGCTTTTTTGTTTGATCTCAAATTTTCAATAGTTGTCATCTTTGTTGTTGATGTTATGGTTTAATTAATTAATCTGAGTTTTTGTGTTGAAACTGACTTATCAGATAATAATATAAACCATTAAAAAAAGTTCTCACTCAATACTTTAAGATTTTGGATTGAATTGGTTCTTTATGGTATTGGAGCTTTCTTGACCACAAGATCACGAGTTCGATCCTTACCGCTTCCACTTTCTAGTGGAATTAAGAACGTACAAGTTAAACCAAAAATTGAGCCGGTGTAATATACACACTTCAAGCCCAAAGAGCTTTTGCGTAAAATGGTATGTTACAGAATAATTTAAATCATTAAATAGACCTTCGTCCAAAATCTTAAAATTTTATGTTGAATTGATTCTTTATTTGATATGAGGTTATATATATCGTCACAATTCAAGGAAATGATATATAATAAGCGAAAGTTTGAAGGTGTAATAGCCTGAATTTTCTCTAATTTAAGGAATACATAGCCTGTAATGATCTAAAATTCTTTTCCTTTTGTTGAATATTAACATTCGAGTAATCCAGTTAACCATTTAGTCAGGATTTGTAAATCAAAGATTGCAGCTTGCTTCGACTCCTTGCAGAGTGTAGACGAGCACCAAACACACCGCAAACAACAAACAAGATCAAAAGTTGTATATGCAAATCCTACCACCACCTCGCTGCACTGGTAGAAAAAAGAGGGATTTATGTCATGGTCTCATGGTTAATTATGATCACTCCCTATTCTTACATTTTTTTTTTCTCTCATCTCTCGTCATTGTTGATCTAACCATAAATGGTTATAATCCTCTCATATGACATGTTATGAGAAGATGATTTATTCTGCAGATGAATACCCTCAAGGTTTATATTGTACATCATATATTCTATGAATGTATTAATAAGTGAGTATTTTACTCATGTGCCGAGTTTTTTCTCCACCAATTTATCGATTATCCTATTAATCCGATTCATGTCGAACACGACAAATTCGAAATTACTGGTCAAGTTGAAACAATCTCGATTAAACTTTATTTGTCAATTGCCTTTTATGTTTTTCTCCCCTTTATATTTACACATTGCTTCTATGTTTAATGGGAACTCAGAAATTCATCTCCAAGTAAATTAGTCTTCTTGTCCAGTTTAAAAAGACAATTTATTTCATTAAATATGATGAAGAGTTGTCTTGGAGAAGAGTGAGTGCTGTAATACAATTTGAAGGCAATGAAATAAACAGAAACAGCCTGGAAAAAAAGAATCAATTTTTTTATTTGTTATTTGTCCTTCTGGACAGTTTCTTTAGTACAATTTGACCCTTCTAAAATAAAATATTTAAAAAAAATGAAAAAGAAAACATCATTAGTAAAAAATAAGTGTTTGTATTATGATTAAACACGTGTATAACAAATTAAACATTTGTTACAATTTATTCTCTTAATTTTTTAATTAATCATTAAGGTCTTTCACTTTTTTTCTAATATAAATCTTTCCTTAAATACCCAAACACTACAAGAAAAGGTGCAATTTGCGACGGTCCAATTTCGATTTGGAGGCGGTTAAAACCGTCGCTAAAATACTAGTACGGCGGTTAACCAACCGTCGCCCAATCAATCGTCGGGAAGAAATCAACGACGGTCACTTTCAACCGCTGGAACAACCGTCGAGAATAATTCAACGACGGTTAGAACGGCGGTGTGGCCGCCACATAATGATCATCGAAATTACTATGTTTTACTTTTGGAGGAGGTTGTAAACCGCCTCTGTATAAGTAACGTGGTTTTGGAGTCGGTTTATAACCGCCTCTGTATTTCCTTTTGGAGGCGGTTCGTAACAGCCCCTAAATAAGTGATAAGGTATTTCGCGTCTGTTGGGAACCGCCTCTGACTTTTATTTGGAGGCGGTTTGTAACAGCCTCTAAATAATAATTTAAAAATTAATTTATAATTTATTAAAAAATTTATAAAATAATTTTGTATGATTGATTGTATTCGATAATTTTAAAAAAAATTAATCAATTTTTTTGTTTCTTATATTTCTAAAATCCTATTTTTTTAAATTTAATAATAGTGATTTGTTATTATTTTATAAATTTATTCAAATATAGAATATTATTGCTATACATAATTTTTGAAATGTCGTCCAAATATAATTAAAATTATTAACAAAAAAGATCATTCATAAAAATGTTATTGAATAAAAATATATAAATTAAACCATTTATCATAATAGGATTAAAACATCAAACTTGATGTTTTGTACTATCATCTAAACAAAAAATATAAATTTCAAGAATATATATAAGGCGATAGCATACAACATTAGCACAAAGGATTTGGAATTCATAAAAAATGCTAGCAAAGCATCTTGTCATAAAATGAGTATACATCAACAAAATACTTGAATCAAGTATACGCTTTTTACTTCAAAAAAAAACAAAACAAAAAAAAAGCATAAACAAAAAGCATCACAAATGGCTCCTATATACAACGAAGCACATACAAGCATAAAATATAGCTTGCACCCTGTCGTATCTTGTGCATATTATTATTAGTTAATGAGATAGCTTGTAAAATAGAATAACAACTATAGCAAGAACAAGAGCTCCAATCACAGATGCAACGATCCATTTGTTTGTAGTTATTCTTCGTGACATGCTCGTTACAACCTTCTTACTCTTGTCGATAGCATCATCTACCCCATGAAGCTGCAAGTCATAGAAAAAATGACCATCAACCAACAATCACCACCGCTTCTACATCGCACTTGCAATCTTATTCTCCGAGGAAACGTATCATGATTGATTTTAATACTTTTCCTTAGAGAATAAAATCATCTCATGATTCTTTACTAGTAAATTAAAAGAGGACCAAAACTATCTAAAATTGACATAAAAAGAACACCATTGAAAAAAATAGCATTCACATATAAACATACCTTCTTATGGGAGTTCAGAAGAGTCTCACGCTGCTGGTGTAAATCTTGAAGTATTGAGACACCAATTTCTTCAGTTTCCAGCATTCACATATAAACAATAATAATCGCAACTCAGGCTGCACAACGGATGCAAAACACAAACATCTTACAATAAATACACCTGCAATAACATAGCCTCTATATGAACTGGTTGCAGTTGCTGATACCGAACCCACATTCAGTCACAAATATTTCTTGAATATTTAATGGTCTCTAGGAATTAGAACCATATATTCTACAACGGAATTCAGAATTTAAAAAGGCTAAAGATATCAACACTAAATACCCTAATATGATGTACAAAAAAGAGAGTAATAGAACTGTGAAAAAACAGTAAAAAATTAATGATGAATATTAGTGTGGTAACTAAAATAACATTCAGATTCAGTCAATTAAAAGATCATTTTCTGAAAAGCCTTAATGGTAGTTACTTGGTTAACAGTGATCCCAAAAAGGAGATACAGAAGTGAATAAATAGTATTTGATATTATCACTAGCAAACAAAAAGGAAAATAATAAGAACTAGAAACAGAACTTCCAATTAATAACAGTGATCACAATTCCAAGTTTATTAATAACTGAAAGATGCTTTTTTCCAATTCTTCTTGTTCGGAGCCATCCTTTTGTAACTTTACCAACAACCTATATAATTAGACTCTGATCCTGCAAAATATTAATCAAACATCACTCAGAAATCCCATTTGAATCATGGCTATCTCTTTCACTTCCAACCTGCAATCAAATTACACCCTGAAAAAGAAACTATGACATAGTCCCCTGAAATCATAGAATGATTTTTGTATTCTTTTTTATGTGCCTTTCTTTTAATTAGAAAATATCAGACAATGGATAAGAGTATGTAGAATATACAAATAAAGCAGTTAAAATAATGCTGAAAAACAAGGTATATTATACATAATAATTCCAAAATAGCAATAATAGATAAACCAATTTACCTTGATGGCAAGAAGTCCTAGTGCGAGAGCGCTCCCTTTCTCAATCTTGTGCTGAAATTTAACCTGGTTAATCTGAAAAACAAAACCAAGAGAAAATAAAGCAGTTAAAATTACATACGCGTGCATCTGAATCCCAAAAAATCTAGGATCGGCTAACAGATCCTAAACATTAAAAATTTGTGATGGTCCGACAGCTTCCACCAAAGGACTTGTTGGTTGCAGAAACACATCTATGTGCTGAATGTTTTAATTCGTTGCCTAAATTGGATGGACTTAGTGTCAAAATATGAGAACTATGTGTTGCTCCACTTTCAGTATTAATCCCTACAAAAACAATTAAGGATATTGCCTGGTGTAGATTGAGGCCTGATAACGAATCGTGGTTTCCGAAGCATTCCTATAAATCCAAATACTCAATGACAATAAGTAAAAATGAAAAAAAACAACTAATCAATTGAATAACATAATGTATTCATAAAACATTGTTGATAACTTACAAAAAGATAGCAATATTATGCATGAAACCATAAATAAATATGAAACACAAAAATCACATCAATCAACAATTTATCAAATGTGAGATCAAATTGCATGATTCTATTACATTTGGTTTCAAAATACAAATTATCTAATTTAGCTTGCATTGGTCATGTCGTTCAGTATAACACTTTAATGGTTGCACCTGACCATATTAATATTGCAAAATTTTAGAACCTGAACAGTGTAGTAGTTGATGAGTAAATGCATTTAGTTGATAAGGACATTGTTTTGGATAAGCTACACATGGTCCAATAACCTGAACCGGCTACTGAGGTCTAATATAGGGGTTGAACTTATGTACTCCTAAAGTGGAATAAATGCTCCTTACTGCCACAAATCTCCTCTCTTGTATATAGGCCTCATTCATAGTGAGACCCATAGAGGCGATGTGTTCTATGACAATTTTTACTAATAGTTATGAGTTTAACCTTACTATTTCTTACTGTCTAATGCATTTTATTATACCACACTATTGTCTCTGTTTAATTTTTTTTAACCTCTTCTTCAATCAAGTTTCTATAAGGATATTTCTCTCTTTGACTGCATAAGGAACCAAGTCAACAAAAGATACGAAGCGAGTGAAATAAGAAGAGAGACTTATTGTAAGATTGATAATAATAAAGGAAACTTTTATATTGCCTGACATAGACATTGAAATTAGTGGTTCAGTTTGAAAAAGCATTAAGTAACATTTACAACAAAGGGTTGTTCTCCAGATGTAAACATTGACATTATTTGTTAGGTTGATATGGGCTCTAAAGCTGGTCCACAATGATCATCATGCTCTTTCGGGGATTCTAACTAAATGGTCATTCTTCACTGCTTGTTTGATTAAATTAAGTGATGTTGACACAAAAATCTACTAAACGGGTAGAATAGCCTAGCCATCCAACTTGCTAGCTATGATGCTAAAGGGGTAAAATAGTTGACAAATATATTTCTCTTGTTTTATTAGTAAAAAAATAATGTAAAAAAAATAATGTAAAAAAAATAATGTTAAAAAAAAAAATCTCCTTCATCTCTTGGTTGGACTAGACATGAAAAAGCAACCCAAGCTAACAGCCAAAAGATAAACCTTAATTTTCAAATGGAAAGGAAAGGGCCAAAGGGGTTCATTTATGATAGGGTAGATTGAGGACAACATGATGGACCCTTAGCAAATGAGGCTGTAGCAAATTAAGAATGGGTCTGTAGCAAATGAGGCTATTTTTATGATAGGGTCCATTTTTTTTTAGGTATTATCATTTTTTATTGAATTGAAGTTTGTTAACAAATATTTAATTAATCATTATTAGTATCTCAAAACGGAATATTTCTTTTAAAGTGAGCTTATTTGTAAACTGAATATCACATCTAGAAGCATAGAGAAATAGAGATACCCTTGTCACTGAACCGAGCCTACCAACATCGTACATAAAAGAACGGAGACTCTTTCAAATCCACATTATAATAATCCAAAAAAAAAGGTGACAGAAATGAAACGAAAATCACATGTGTAAGGATAAGGGTTTGAAAAGATACAACAACTATATTTTCGCACTATTTTTATTATATAAATGAAAAAGAAAGACACTAACAAATTCATCTCATCGAAAAACACAAAACGACCCATTGATGGTGAACCATAAACTCAATTGATACCGATTAAACTCCATAGCAACCAAAAACGCAAAGCATAGTTGTAACTGAACTTTAAAGATAAACAAAGTAAGGTCGAGAGAAAGGGAATATAAGACGTTACCGGAGATAGATGGGTTGCGACGCTGGTGAGGTTGAGACTGCAATTTGCACGAAGAACACACCGACGATCTGTGAGAGTGAGTAAAGAGAGAAAAACAATATAAAATCAGAAATAAAAGAAAAAAGAAAAAACATGCACAAATTTTAGGGTTTAGAGAATGAGAATGGCGAATGGAAACCAAAGAGAAGAGAACGAAAATGAAAATGGAGAATGGTAACTGAACCTGCCGATGGAGAAACACAAATTTTGGTGAAAAGGTTTTTGGCCAGAGTAATTTTGGTGAAAGGTAACTGAAAGGGCTTTATGGAGCGGGTAAAGTGAAAAGGAGGGAGCGGGGAAAGTGAAAAGGAGGGAGTGGGGAGAGTGAAACTAGTATTTTAGTAAAAAAAAATTATGTTAATATTTAAATAAAATATGTATAATTGAGTGAATGAAAGGTTTATAATTCAAGGGCTCAGATAAAATAATTATAATATGGCCATATAATTGCCGTGTTGATCGATGTAATGCGTACCGGTCTCCTTTAACACTTGAGTATAATTATGAAGTCTCTGGACATGAATTAATTTCATGTAGGCTTCCATGCCAGACAAATATAGAACCAAATGAGTCTTTTTACTTCATGGTCAGCCGAAAACAGTGCACATAATTATTTAATTTTGGTTTAATTAATTTTAAGATATATCTTTAAATATTTAATATACATGGATGGTAGCAGGTGGATATTATGGAACTCCAATAAAAAATGGATAAATATGTGGCCATGAGTTTCAATCCTTACAAAAAAAAATTCATTTAATAATTTTATTTTTATAATAAATCAGTTTTCATGTTAAACTTTATTTCTACACCATTGTTTTAAGGGAAAATTTTATTTTTACCCCTTATGGTTTCATGGCATATCATTTAAGCCCCTGTTGTTTTAAACTTATCATTCATATCTATTGTGATTAAATAAGTCTATTATTTAACTCTATGTGATCTAAAATTTTCATTCACACCTATTGTGGTTACAATTACAATATATCAATTAGACCTCTAATAGTCTTATAAATATAAAAATCTTTATTTATTTGTAATTTTTTTAATATAATTATCATATAATCCACTAAAATTTTAATAAAATAAAATATGAAAAGATTAAATTACAAAATATTTTATTATTTATTTTGATATTATTTTAGAAATCAAGAAACAATTTTTTTGTTTATCTATAAAATATATTTAAAATTAAAAACATTAAATTATATATTATAAATATGATTTTTATTCAATTATTATAATACATATTTTAAAAATATTATATAAAATATTATGAATATGTATCAAGATGAATAATACTATTATTTAAAGTATGAATTGCGAAAGTTATAAAGGCAAAATTTTAACTTTAAATTATTTTAAATTCAGATAAATTAAAGAGTATTAGCTAGATAAATTATTTATTTTATTTTTAGTTTTTATTATATTATAACGATATCATATAAAAAATTGATTTAAATTTATTTTTATGATAAACATATAAGACCACAGGATTCACATGCCTGTCATAACTTACAATAAATTTTTTAAAAAGTTACTTATTTTTATCGTGAATCAAAAGTGATAAATTTAAATAAATGAATTTTCTATGTATATAAATACACACATGGATTTAAATCATACATTTTTATAACCACCATGGGTATACGTGATACTTTGAAACAACAAAGGGGTTAAATGATATATTTCAATTCGTAATCACAATGTATCTAAATGATATATTTCCTATCATTTTATTTTTATCCGGTTTCGGGGTCGGCGCCCCCACACCCTCGTAGGGGTGGCTACCCCGGACCCCGCCTGCTCATTAAAAAGCAAGACTCGTGTTGGCTTTCTTTGTGCCCTACCAAAAAAAATCATTGTCTGATTATATATGAAGTATGAGCCAGAAACAACATACACACCCATATTGCACCCACGAGTACACACACTCACCCACAGACACACGCACCCAAACGCGAATGCGCGTACACCCACTAACACCCACATGCATGCGCGCACACCCACCTATACACACACAAGCGCACGTGCACACCCACACTTACAACACAATTGTATTAATGAACATTATTTTGGAGTATGATTGCATAAGTCATGGATGCATAATTATTGTGTCGATTTGAATTGGATCGGTTTTCATCAACCCATCCGAAAATCGATCCAATCCAATTATAATTTGCGATTTTTCGATTTTTGATTTATTCGATTATTGATTTTTCAGTTCGGTCACCGCGATTGGAATCGGTTGATGAACATCCCTAATTAGCATGTCTTGTACAAATGCAATGACATGAACAAACTCTTAAAATTGATATCCATGATTAATACTTACTACTCCTTATATTATATATATCATTGACATTCTACATTTTGCTCGGGCCAATTAAGTTTTCATCATTCTAAATTGCCCCGACCATATATTAATTAGGGCAATTACTATAGAAATTATACAACCAATATTTAATTTCAATGCTTTATGTCCAAATTATAGCAAGGAGATTTTGGAGGGGGGACATACTCAACAAAATTAGGGTTCGGTGTTTCTCATATTGTAACAGATAAAATTATCTCATACCCATATAAAAGTATATGGGGCTGATCATGTGAAAAGAAAAAATAAAATGAAAAGATGGGCCCAACACAGTTTTATATGTGTACAGGAGATAAATTCAACATGAGAGACATTAAAGCCACAAAATTATGGTTGAACCAATATTATGAAGACTGCCTAGACCCATCATTAACTCAGTTGAAAAGGTTGATTTAAATTTATAAAAAAGTATGTAATAAATATATTAATAAATTATTAATATTATAATAAATTCAATGGCATAGTGGTTGTTGTCATTGAATTCCTCCAATGTATACTGTGTTCGAATCTTTCTAAGTGCCGTTGTTCATAAAAAACATCCACCATCATTGGAATTTATATTTTGCGACGGTTAGTAAACGCATTTACTTTGTCATTCTGAGTCGGTTTATAACCGTCGTCATTCTGCGTCGGCTTATAACCGTCGTTGAATAGTGATATTCTGCGTCATTTTGTAACCGCCTCTGAAATCAGCGTTTTCATTCTGAGTCGGTTATAACCGTCGTTATTCTGAGTCGGTTACAACCGTCGTTGAGTAGTGATATTCTGCGTCATTTTGTAACCGCCTCTGAAATCAGTCGTGGAATTGTGATATTCAATTACGGTTCATTAGGACGTCGTAGTAACCGTCGTTGTTATGTATTCAACGACGGTTGGACCCTGACCGACGCCGATTATCTGTCGCAAAACACACATTTTCTTGTAGTGAAATTCTCCATTCTTGATAAGAGAGAATCCAATGTGAGAGTTTTAGATTTCATACTGATTTGTTTTGAATTAATGTTGCGGTGACAACCAATATTTTGTTGGAATTAATGAATGAATTAATGTACAATGATCCATTGGTTATGAATAAGAAGTGGGTTAATAAAGAAAAGAGAAAAAGGGAAGATGAAGAGGTGTGTGGGTTTCAACAAGTCCCACATTGGACAATTAGTAGGAAATGGGAGAGTATATAAGCTCCCACTTCCCTCTCTTAGATTGGCCCTTGGGTCACTACATGTTTTATGTAGGGGGGAGAGCTAGGTGAGCATTGGTTCACCACACGCGCGCGCCGCCGTCCGTCCGGCCGGCTCGGTTCATAGTGTGTAATAAAAAAATAATTTTTTATTAAATTATTTTTTAATATTTTGTCCAAAAAATTTACCGTTGCTTCCCTCCAACCAAAAACGTTTCTACCCGCCGGTTTTTTGAGCAGTATTGAACCGAACCGGTTCTTTCCCTTCGTGAACCAGTCACCGGTTGTGTCTGCTCGCTGAACCGGTCACCGGTCGTATCTGTTCGTCGGAATAGTCACCACGGCGGTTAGCCGCCGGCGACTGTTCATCGTGACCGGTCAGTGTCTATAAATAGACACTGACACCTTCAGAAATCAATCCAGTTTTTTCCTGCACTTAAACTCTGCCGGAATTTTTCTTCTTCCGGTTTTGCATACTGTTGTTCATCCTCCGGTGTGACTTCCTCTGGCATTTTGTTGTGTTCGTTTGGGCTGTTGATTGGTAGTGCCACCATTCTTCAGACGAAATCCGTTCTATCCTGGGAGACAAGTGTCCATCAACCTTAGGCATCAGTGAGGGGGCAAATTGTCTTAAGGAGACACGTTCTGTGGGCTCGGATTTAATTCCTCTTATACTGCATATATTCATCCTTTCATTCTGTCTGTTTCATCATTCTGCCACTGACAAGTAAGTCTGTTTTTAATATTTTTAATTACACAGTGATAATCCTTATCATCTACCTCCTCTGCTTTATACATGGGTTCAAATCTATTAGTGATATAATATCACCCACTGTCTTTAATAACAATCTTAAGACAATTTGGTGCTTTTGAACCTGTGATCAGTACTTATTTTTCGTTATATATACTGTTTCTGTTTTATTTATTGTGTGATAAATTAATCTGTGTGATTAATTTCGGATTCTGTTTGTGTAACAGAAATGGCTAATGTAAGTACTAGCAATGCCAATGTTACTGCCTCTGTTCCAATGCATGCTGACAAGCCTGAAAAACTGAATGGAACAAATTTCAAACGCTGGCAACAGAAGATGTTGTTCTATTTGACAACTCTGAGTCTAGACCGTTTCCTCAAGGAAGATGCTCCTAAACTGAAAGAGGGAGAAGAGTCTGACAAGGAAAAGGTTGCTGCCATTGATGCTTTTACGCATTCTGACTTCCTTGGAGCTCCAACAACTCAAGGAAGAAGCTCACACACTCCCACAAGGCAGTCCAGACTCCAAACAGCCTCCACACAGCCACCACACTCAGGAAAAGAGCTCCTTTCACACTCATAATGATCTATCCCACTCACCCAAGGTACAAAGTGAAGAGAAAAGGAGGAAGAGAGGTCACAAAGTTCACAAAATGGTGGTGAAGCAATGTAATAGTAGAACCAGCAGCAGACCAGCCCCTCACCCACGTAGAGAAACTGTTTTCTAGGGTTTTGTGCCCTTAATAAGAGTATATATAGCTCACTTAAAGATTAACACACAATATTAACTTTAATTGTTACGCTTAGCATTTTAATCCCAAACTTTGGATTATGAAACTACATAATTTTCTAAGATTTATCATATTTTTCTTATAATTTTCTGAGCACCTTTCCGGTACGCTCTTTTCCAAGCCAGTACCGGTTTCTAGCACCAGTTCTCATTATTTGGACTTGAAACTCGTTTTACAAGTCCTATATATCATTCTAGTAATTATTATACACTTATTATAATTTTCCGGGATAC